CATTGCCATAACGGCCACCCCGAGCATTCACCTCTTCGCCACGCTCGAGGAGAAGCCGAACAACCGATTCGTTTCCGCCGAGCACAGCTGCGGATAGTGCACCGCCATGCTTGCTTCCCTGTGCATTTACCTCTGCGCCACGGTCCAGGAGAAGCTGCACAATCGATTTGTTCCCACGCTGCAGAGCGGTTCGTAATGCACTGCCATAAATGCGGCTCTGAACGTTCACCTCTGCCCCACGCTCGAGGAGAAGCCGTACAACAGATTCCTTCCCCCGATGCACAGCAGCTTGTAGTGGATTGCCAAAAAAGCCACCCTGAGCATTCACCTCTGCCCCATGCTCGAGGAGAAGCCGTACAACAGATTCCTTCCCCCGATGCACAGCAGCTTGTAGTGGATTGCCATAAAAGCCACCCTGAGCATTCACCTCTGCTCCACACTCGAGGAGAAGCCGCACAACCGATTCGTTCCCATCGAGCGCAGCTTCGCATAGCGCACTGCCATTATGGCCACCCCGAGAATTCACCTCCGCCCCACGCTCGAGGAAAAGCCGCACAACCGATTCGTTTCCACCGTGCGCAGCTGCGCATAGCGTGCCGACACAACGGCCACCCCGAGGATTCACCTCCGCCCCACGCTCGAGGAGAAGCCGCACAACCGATTCGTTTCCATCGTGCGCAGCTGCATATAGCGCGCTGCCATAATGGCCACCCTGAGCATTCACCTCTGCCCCATGCTCGAGGAGCAGTCGTGCAATAGATTCGTTACCCATTGCTATGGCTGCCTGCAGTGAATTGGCACGACCACTACCTTGTGCATTCACGTCTACTACATCCTCTTTTCTATTGACTAGGAGTTTACAGACCGTCACCAGGTTTAACAAGGAGGAATAGTAGATTGCTGGTGGGTAAACCCCTGAATACGGGTATTCGCCATCGGGGTCATGTATATCCAGCCATCCCTGTCCAAGCTCGAGGACCTTCAATGCAGCGTTTGAGAGTGGAGTAGGTGCCGTAACCTTAATAGACCGAATATACACGAACCAATAGCGAGCACTGTGGTAGAGAAATGATCCCCAGTCGACTTGGTTCCCACGTATAGTACCCTGCTCACTATGCCGCAGTATACGACTAAGACAAGCGTGGCCCATCAACAAATTGGCTTTATCCTCCGAAATATGACAGAAAGGACTGGGGCCCTGAGCTGCCCGGTCGGAGATCAAATATTCCTTTACCGAGAAATGTGCCAGTCGTAATCGGCGGCTTTCCTGGGTGGCTAGTTGACCGCTCCTGCAATCCTCGAAAGAAAGGAGGCTTGGGCAAATGCTCATGAGGGACCTCACGTCAAAAAGTGTTTCGGAATCTTGGCCATATATGTTGACATCGTATTTGATCGCAACTGCCTCCGCAAGTTGGCCTAATGTCAATGGTTCCGCAGAAAATGCAAGCCAATGCATCGCTCTCTGAACGTATGTCCTCTGCGTCTCGTGAATGCTTCCAAGGATCCTCGAGTAGACAGAATCTAGGTCCTTCGGCAGTTCCTCCAACGCAGCTCTTGCATCGGTTGGCACTAGGCATTCTTCCAAAATTCGTAAAAGACAATCTACCAACCGGAACCTTAACATTCCCACTCTTCTATTAGCGAAATTTTAAAGTTTAAAGGTCGGATCCCACTTACATTCCCTGCGAATCCGCAACGAGTGTTTCCTCAATCTCAGTCTTGAACTCTTTGGTAAATTTCTTGAACCCATCCCTGCCATCTAGAGACTTCTGTATATACGACCGGATATCTGGATCGACGGTTTTGGATTGTAGAGGTATTACAAAAGTGGCAAGAGGTTGTAAGGATCTCACTATATCGGCCTCGGGGCGGCTTGTCAAGAGAATAGAAAGCGATCCTGCATCATGATCAACCGTAAGCTCGCTGACCCAAGAAAGGAGGCCCCTTCGTGTAGACTTTGGGAATTCGTCCAAGGCATCTAGAATGACAAAAGTTTTTTTGAAAATTTTTATCATCTGCGAAAATGCGGATTTCAGAGTCTTGAGATCTGGTGACTTTCTATTTACTCGGGAGCCGTAATATAGATCCTCAACCACATCGGGCAAACCCGGACCCGAAATCCCTTCCAGTAGCTGGCCAATGATGGATAGAAGCAGATTGAGCAAATTCTGCTTTTCCGAGTCGCTGAAGGTAAAGTAGAAATAGGCCAATGCGTGATCGTCGTTCGTGTTGCACAGATGTCTGACATCTTCAATAGCAGTAGCGCTAAAGAGAGGGTTAGCAATCAGGAAACAATATCACAACCCCGGATACCCGGTTGAGCTCGCACCTTAGAACACTTTTGCCACATCCGGCTGTAAGGCACAAATTTTAATGACATTCTTCAGAGTATAAGGTTTCACTCGTAGGCAGACTTACGCATTCCATGGAGCCAGAGAACACTCCCTCTGCCTTCCTTCCAATCGATATACTCATGTCCCTTGAGAAACCAACTCCCCGTACCAGGTTCACGAACAGCTAGTGCAGATGAAAAATCGGCGCTAGGATCGACAACTTTAAGCCAGCGCAACATTCCCCCCCATTCCTCCTCTGGGTTTTAGAAATATGTGATATTAGCAATTAAATCAACCAACAGGGTTAGGAATATTTTAATCAAGTACCATCTATTTTTCGCGATACCTTTGCCACCGTCTCCCTGAGCAACTGGTTAGCCTTGCGACCGAAAAAAAAATGGGGCGGTGGAGAGGCTGGATTCTCAGGGTACAGAATGGATAACCTACGTTTTAGCTGGGCGTAACAAGAGCTGAAGTTTTAATCTCTGCTCTTCGATCAAGCCCAGGTAACGCTCCACCTTGGGCTCATGAAAAGGCCCAACCAACTTTCCCGAGGATTTCCTCCCTTCTAGGACATCTAACCCTTCCTTCAGCTCCTCCAAGGTCCTGGTATAACTTTCTAAGCTTTCATTTTTTGTCCATTCAAGGAGCCTAGGGTATTGTGGGTTGTTGTTCTCATCGCCCTGTGCAGCAAGGCTTTGTATTTCCTTCAGTTGTTGGTCAATACCCCTGATCCCGTCTCCCAGTCTCTTGAAATCTTGTTGGCCCTCCTTGACTACATCGCGGTAGTCATCGCAAAGCTGATAAACCTCCACGCCGAGGTGAATGAGGGCAACGCCGCTGGCAGCAAGTGAGAACGGCTCTGCCATTTCTTTTCTCACGAATCCTGTGGGCCCAAGAAGAGAATTTTAAAGGTGTGGCTATGATAGCTCGCTATCTCTCAATAGTGAAAGATGAATAAAAGTCGGCCTTCGATTTTGAGGGGGGGTCTTTGAAACTCGGGGCGCTTTTCAGTTACGATTCCCGACAGCGGATTGGGGGATGAGGTGGGATACAGCAACTACTCGGAGATGGTGTCTTTTCGGAGCGAGTTTTCTTTTGAGATTCTCAGAGAGGGGTTCATAAATGCTAGCGCTTGTACGCACAAGAACGGCAGTTGCAGGCCCAGACGCGAATAACATAACCGCAAGCCAAGCGTTACTCGGGTACCGGTAATTTAGCCCCCATGCTTCAGTTTTTGGTGGCGGTCCAATTTCTTTCCCCGCATGGGTTTCTGACTCAAGTACGGTACTCGAGTACCGGTACGGTAGGTGTACTCGAGTACGGTACGAGGGTACGAGAGATTTGCCTGTTGCAGCTGCCGCTTAGCAATGGAACGGGCGACAGGCTACAATTACGTTTCGTGTTCATGTCGCGCTTAGGGGATTCTGTTCGCTTGTGTCCACAATATCTTCCGACTCATACAAATCCCCCCCCCCGACCGCCATCAACTGCTACGAACACACTCATGTGGTGCAGCGGATTCGCTTGCCCCCACAAGTCACCCTGCGGATAGTCACCCCTAGCTCCCCCTTGTAATAACCCTCTCCCGATAGGAAAGCCGCCGTGAGCCGATCAACCCCCTCATGATACGGTACTCAAGCAGTCGCGTTTCAGTGGAGCACATTCTAAAAAAAACCAGCGCTGTGCTGAACGAATACTTTTTTTCCAGTACCATGGCGGTAAGCATAATAAACTACCGGTACGGTATCACCCACAGAGAGTGCCGGAAGGTGCGAACAGCCTCAGGAGGTTTTGGAGAGTTCGGATCGTATTAAAATCAGTAGCGGAACTGCCATACGGCAGGCTGCCCGGACAGCAACTTATTCGAGTCCGGTGAATGTACTCGTACTGTACAGTACCGTACAGTACCGTACCGCACAGAATTTGAGAGGGCAATGCCGGAGATGGGAATTCGTTGCGCATGACACATGCTATACTCGAGTACCGGCACTGCACTCGGAGCCGCCGCCAATAGCGGGACCTGCTGGTTTACTCACGCCACTGGTTTACCGAACGAACGCGACACGACAGACGCTCACCACCGTTCTGGGAAAAATGCATTTCAACACTCGGGCTGGATGGGTCTAGTTGCACCTTTCGTATCCTAGGACCGCTATCGAAACTGCTTTCTCCAATAGGTAGAAGGGTAATTTAACCACTGGCGGCTCCACAGCTCCTCACTTTCCGGGTTTGAGCTATCGCGAAAGCAATCCTTTCGGTACTTGAACCATACAGCTATCGCCCCGCGGGATTCTATTCCACACTCGCTGCCCCCAAAGAATTTTCCTTCTATTCTCCGACACACCCTCCCAACCGGGATCTCAAGGCCCGGAGCCAATTAATGAACTGACGACCCCCGGGAAAACAGTTCCACATAGTCTCTGCCGGTGCGTCGTTTGTCAATCCTTCGAGCTGTTCAAATTCTCTCTTTCATCTGAGAAAACACCACAAGTTCGGGCCAGTTCTCTACCCGAGGGAAAAACAATCTCTTGGCAAACTTCAGCACCGAGAACCTCCGAGTAGTATGGGATAACGGTAGCTAGATTTATGATACCCTGATCTACGCATTAACCTAGGTTCCTACATGCCGAAAAATATTGAGCATTACTTCCGCTTCCACCTTCAGATTCACCACAGCACAGCTGAGGGTACCGGAGACCCTGATACCAGTTTCAGTCCCGCCCTTCCTTATAGAATTTGGTCCCCGCCTCTTCCGCTCATATTCGGTTCTCTGCCTCCCCCGCCGCACTTAGCTCTCGATCATTCACATTCGTTCCCCGTCTCTCCTATCGCCTTCCGTCGCTCGCTACTCGATGTTCACGCCCGGCTTTCTAACTCCCTTAACAAGTTTGCAGTATGGAGATATCGGTCAACAGCCAAATTCCGTCCACTCCACGCTCTGCTGCCGAATGAAGCTGTATCGGACCCGGGGCTGTGATGGCGGGGGTCTGGGTGGGGTGTTCTATCTGACTCGCTCTATCCAGGTAACAAAGCATGTTACCAGCTAACCTAACTATCCACCACCCCTTCTACAGTTACCCTCTAGTCCTACCCCACCCCTCCCATCCTCCCCTATCACAAACACCATGACTTACCGTCGACCGTTACCCCGACCTCGCTTAACCCTCGTGCGGGGAGCTGCGGTGGACTTCACGAGCGCTGACGGATGTCACCGCCGTTGCCCCCAGAAGATTGCATATGCCCCAGGGCGTTGTAGTATACCGGTATGGCAGGAAGTCGGTTTTGGGGATTTTGTGGTCATGTTTTACGGCTTTTTGCCCATAGAATCTTTCTATTTGGGATGAGGCTTAGCAGGTGGAAAATTTTCACCTGCAGGCATCGCCTTGCCTTCCCCGGAGAGAGAGGAGGAAGACACGAACAACCGAACCTTCCCTTCAGCCACTGTGCTCAGGTCTAGGCAGTATTCAAACCGCAGTAAAACCCCAGGCTTACGAACAGCGAGTACAAATGGGTGGATTTTTGGGGAAAACGAAGAAAACTGTATAATATACGATTTCTATCGTCTTCCCAAAACTGCACCCAAATGAAAGAATTAAAAAAATAGCGCCAAGATCTAAAACTCCAAACCATTTCAGTACCATATCATACTTCCCCGAATTTTCCTACCCTTGGGTTTCAGGGACACCTGATATTACTTCAATCAAGTAATTATCCTAGAACCAGACTCGATATTAGTGAAGTATGATATGAGGATATCCGGCAGGGTTAATTTGACTATGTGCGATCCGTGTGTCGTAATACTCTGGCCACAGTCTTTCTAGATTGTCAACTTGATGGGGCATGTAAAATGAATTAAAGCATGCAGCAGCGAGAGCGTAATCAGAGTACGGTAGGCCAACGGCAACCAAACGCGGAAGGATGGTGAACCAGACGACAGATGGAGATGCGAGCTCGGGACAGACTAAGAGGGTGTCTGGTAAACGTGATCACGATCCCAGACCATGATTCCGAATACAATTCCTTTCAAGAAAAAATTAAATCATTTCGAAACACCATATACCTACATTATAACTCCATGTCTCATTCTTATGGCTTTTCTATAAATTTAGTTACCGTAACCCCATCAGCAACTAATATATAGTGGGATACCAACTTGAAGTAACCCTCTTTCCAGGCACCAGAGGGAGATAAAGGCTATATAATACTTGATTTGTTAATACACAGACAGCTCTAGACAAAGGATTCTAAATCACCGTATGAAACCCCAAACCAGTTCCCCTCAGATACGAATAACGCCTCCTGTCCGGTTTGCCAGACCTTCGGATACGCCTACCCCCGCTCCGGATTTTAAGTTTTCCGGGGCCGTTGTGTACAACCAGTTTCGACGCTTACCCGAGGAATACACATCCTAGGAATTCAGAAGATGGTGAGATTGTGGCCCTAGCACGATCACTCCGTATGCCTGGACACGTAGGGGCGCTATACCGGTAATAAAATAGGCATGCCCAGAATCTCACTCCACACCACCCGCAAGGCTTACCTCCATACCCACCTATCCGGTACTGAAAATGACGATCCCGGGACCGGCCCAAAACCGAAGAAAGAAAGAAAGAAGAAGATTTGCTTGCAGCAATTGAAGAGGGAAAGAAAGTAGATACCCACACGGATGTAAAAACGGAATAACAGCGCGGTCCTTTGGCTATCATCGAATCACAACTCCTCCACCCCCAAATACCATAGTCCTTCTTTCCTCTGCTCCTTTCACCGGGGTCTCTCCGGCTCTCACAAGGTCGGTTGAACGGTCGTTTCACGTTCGTAGCCCGCAGCTGATGTCAGTTCGTGTTCCAGGTCCGGTTCTCGATGTTCCTATAGAGAAAGACAGGGAAAAAATGTCCCTTATAGGTACTTCTAGACCACTTGCCCACGCAATAAACTTTCCATAACAGTCACCCCCAGCAGCCTCCAGAAACCTCATAAAACGATAATAATAAAAATCAACCAGGTATAGGATCCACAAACCCGAGTACTCCAAAACAACCTGAGTCACATTTCCACCCCTACAGTACCCGACTAATCCGGTAAACACCGAGGTTTTAATGACAGATCGGCAAGTAGCTAGGCGTGCACATATCCATACATATGGCAAATGATTCACCAGCTAACCACGGCGGATAGAAAGTGAAGGGTTCAGACTAGAACCAACAGAGGCAGTGCTAGCACCATAAGCAGCGCCCAGTGAACCATGTAGGTGAATTTGGAATTGATCAGTGATTTACCCAGGTCGGTCCATGAAAGAACGAAAATATGTACAAATCTGCTCAATCCAAATACCTGTCTGTGCCAGCACTCTGCTGACGGATTGCTTTTGTGTGTTGGTACTTGTCCGCGGATATTTCCCCATACTGTCGGCATCACCGCCATAGATAAAGGCACTATTCCGTCATTATTCACAACGACCAACCGTTCAATTCCTCAAGCTGATATTGCGGGAGGCTTAGGGCCGTGGTCAAGTGCTCATGTTACAAGCAATGCACAGTACAATCTACAGGTACCCGGACATCACTGTCCCAGGCGCGCGGGGGAGTATCTAGAGTATGTGATTTGCCGCCTCAATAGCCCATATCGATGCACCTTGCTCGGAGTATCCCTGAGAGTGGTTTTAGCTATTAGAAACACTCCAAGAGGGCGGGCTAAAATTTCTCCTCCAGCGGCACTATATGGTTGTGTACAGGTAACTTATATGGAATGGGACCTAATATACCACGGTATCTTCACTCTCGCTCGGTTCAATATGTTTATTTCTCGCATTTCCATCTCAAGATGCACTGTACTTGTGCTTCGGAGGTGAGGTACCGGGCGCCATCCGCTGGGTAAAATCTTGCAGTGATTAAGTCGATGTTCAGGGCCCAGTGAATTATAAAGTAGCGCTCACCCGGGTAAGACGGCATTCCCAGAGCGCTGGAAAATATATTCTCTCATTTCCAGCGCCGGCCGCGTTACCGACTCATAGCAGCTCATAGCGCAAGACCAAGTAGAGATAGCGGGGTCCCCAACTTCATTCAACTGATATATCATATCACACAGGCTCAAGTATAAACTGTGGATAGATACAGGAACGAACAATCCCTATCACCTCACAAAACCATATCACGGGAGCCTAAACCTAAAGTTATCAGGCACCTGCTGTCATGCCAATCCGGGTTTCCTAGCCTCCGGGTAGGACAGCATCATACAGTGAAGCGCATCACGGTACCGAAAACCACCGACACTACGCCGTGAATCACATCTCTAAGGCACAGCACACTACGACACAATACCGGACCACAACATCTCGCAACCACAAAAGCCCGCAACAGTAATGACGGGTACACTACCTGTTCTCTGCGACCCAACGCGGGGCTTGCTATGTAACGCAGGAGGAGACCGGCCCTGACGCCGGTACCCCTCCCAACCCCCCTCCCGGAGTCCTGGCTTGCAGTACTGTGTGCGATACCGGCATTGGGTTAAGCCCAGTTATCTCTCCTCCTCCACCCTTGTCCCACCATCCCAAGTTCTCTCCACAATTTTTTTGATAGTTATTACTGGCCAGGTTAACGGCGCACAGTAAGTCTGCCATACCATCCGGAACAGTACTCTACTCTATCGTACGCTACGGAGACTTTCAGTCCGAAATCTGGGCTCCACCGTGTGAGAACCCGTGAATAACTGGGCGGAGACTCCTCCCGATTGGAAAGTTCCAACAAACATCCGCGCTGCTGCGGCCCCAACGATATTAATTTACAAACATGGGAGGATAGGTACCAAAGTTCCCTCGGCTGAAAGGATGATAGAGTGGTATCAAAGGTCGTTATCGAGCACCCCGGGCCGGTAGCGGCGGTTTCAGAAAAACTAAGAAAGGAAAAACAAATTTATCGGACTATCGATAGCGATAGCTTTCTTTCTTATTCCCCTCCCCTCCTCTACCCTTTCCTCTCTTCCCCCCCACCCCACCCTTTATCTCTGCGTTGTTCCCTGCCCCGCTATTTCTCGACGTTGGATTCGCATGGTGGTGCTGTTTGGGCCATGCCGATGGGGTACCCCAGCAATGGAAAGAAGGGAAATGTGTTCCCACTACAAGTGCCTCATGCTAGAAGAGGTCCAGATCAGTGGAGAAGGTTCTCGTAATATGTCCCTGTATATTTACCCACACCCGAACCTGGTGTAGTACGGTATCCGTTTCACAAATCCTCCAATCGTTGAGCAGCGAGGGGGAAAAAAGAAAAGAAAAAAAGTAAGAAAGACACCCGACATAAATACATGTGCGCCCTCTTTGAGTACCGTACAGTACTGTACGAGTACAGTACAGTACAGGCCCTTTTCTTCCCTTTGTTTTTTCCTCTTATTATCCCTACACCCATCCCACTCCATTCCCTACACGGGCTTCCGAGAGACACATTCCCGGGAAGAAAAAAAGAAATAATAATAAAATATACAGAACCCCTAAAGTCATTATAAATTAGCACACCTTCCACCACATAAGACCCTTTCCCCTCCATGATATCGGGCAAAAAGAAACATGCCTTCGTGAAATAGACAGCGGTGGAGAAATATATCAGCAACTCGAGGTGAAGGAGGGGAGGGAGGAGCACGATATAGTTAGAGTACAAGCGCGGTAGAGCGGGGACACTAAACGAGAGAAGACAAGAGCCCGTGGAGAGAAAATCAACTAACGCCACATAAATTTCAATAATTCCCTAAAAAAAAAGACCAGGTTTAAAACCATGCAAGCTAGTATTGCTCATCCAGTCCTTTATCCAGGATACCTCCATCCGTGATGACCACAATGTGCTTTTGCAAAGACTTTCGCTTCGGGTATGGTGCTTCGAAGATTTCGTTGATTTCTTCCAGGGTTCTTCCCTTCGTTTCGACGAAGCTAGTACCGTAGACCGTCAGCAATTATTTCTCTCCATCCCAGCCAGGGAAGAAGGGAGGGGGGGCGGGTGATGAGGAAGTGACTCACAAGAAGTACATAAACACAACCTCAAACACGTCCCAAGCGATATATACAAAGTAAAACCTCCACTTAATTCTCTCCCAAACCGTCGGGATGGCATAAGTATTGAAGAATACCGCGATGTTCACAAACAGATTGTACATGCCCATGCCCTTGGCGCGTGTCTCGTAGGACAGACACTCGACGGGGTAAAGTGCCTGCAGCGGGGTGTAGGAGAAGGAGTACGTAATGCCAAAGATGTAGATGAAAGCGATGGCGGAGCGGGAGCCGTACGTGTTATCGTTCTCCTCATCCCCGTACAGCGCGGTCAGCGTGGTGATGACAGACCACCACACCACAAACAGGGATGTGCCGACCAGCAGGACTGCTCGCCGGCCCAGTCGGTCTACGAAGCGGGCCCCGATCGTGGCCATCACGAAGGAGATCACGTTCAGGATGGCGTTGTAAAGCAGTTGCGTACGCCCGTCCTTGACCCCGATTTGATCGAGGAGGACGGGCATGAAATATGAAACCGCACCGTTGCCGGACCACTAGGTTTTTTAAGGCCAGTTGATCAGTCCTCTGTTTTCGCAGTATTCTGTGGGGGCGGGGAGAATAACTGGCACATACCTGGCTGAAGAAGGCCATCCCAAGGACACAGGAAAGTCTCCACCACGCCGGTTTGGAGTTGAAAAGATCCCTGTAATCCCACCATCGCTTGTCTGAACCTTCGGTTGCGATCTCCTCGATCATTTCTCTGTATGTTAGGAGCACAATTGGAGAGTTCCGGTCTCCCTCCCCATGATACCGGGCCATCACTCGTATTGCCTCCTCGTGGCGGTCGTTCGAGACGAGCTTTCGCAAACGTCAATTACCTTTCTTTCCCAGAATTTGAAGGAGAGAAGATAATCGGGATGCGACTTACCCATCGCGGGGTTTCCGGGCAAAAGAGGCAGCCTAAAACTACCAAGCCAGCCGCGATAGACTGAAACCAGAGGGGTAAACGCCATGAGAGGTCGGATTCGATATGTTGAGTTCCGTAGAGAGTCCAAGTTGCAGGAATCTGTACCGTATCAGCATTGCATCCCGATATCAATCAAACCGCTGCAGGTGGGGATGCTAAGGGATTCCAAGCTCACCCCTCCGACAAACCAAAAGGTGTTGTAGAGACCCGTCAACGTCCCTCTCCAGGCCGGGTGGGCCATCTCTGCAACGTACGAAGGCCCGGCAGTTGCGCAAGTAGCAACGCCGAACCCGAGAATGAACCTTCCCCCAGTGAACGCAAGGTGGGAAGTTGAAGGAGCCTGCACGCAGGAACCCGCGATTATAATACCCGCGCCAATAAACATTCCCCACCTCCGCCCCCACCAATCGGTAAACGGACCACAAAAGAAGGACCCAGCGATATTCCCAATTGTATAAACAGAGAAAACAAACCCCGTCTCCGACCCAACCGTTTTCATGCCAAAGTACCTGTATTAAAATTCTTGGGTATTAGCCGCGTGAGATCTAGAGATGGAAAGAAGAAGGGGGAAACGTAATGAGAATGGGTGATGAGGAGACTGTATTGAGGAGAAAAATGGACCAACCTCTGGTAATATTTCATGGCGTTGATTCCTCCCATCAACGATCCGTCGTATCCATTTATGCACGAATTCAAAAAGGCAACGAAGAGAAAGAAGTAGAGTTTGAACATAGTCTTTGTCCAGGGACTCGGCTTCTGTGCTATCAGAGCATCCGAAAACCCAACGTGAGCTACAGCGGTGATATGCTGCTGTTCCACCCGTGCCGGCTCATCTGGAGATTTCGAGTCGTGATTCTTGTGATGTGCACTCTCTAGGTGATATGAATCCCCTCTCTTATGAAATGGTGTCGCCAGTCCTGGGGAACCCATTGCTGTTCCGGCTACGTCCATCTCGTAGTAACCATTGCTCTCCATGTCTCAGAGTATCCGTTGGCGAAGATAGGTGAACCCGAAGGAAATGGCGTGCTATTAAGAAGAAAAAAGAAAAAAGAAAAACAGTCAACTAATCAGTTTCCTTTTTTTTTTTTGCTTCTCCTAAATATAGTTGATACCCGGTAGCGGTGTTTCCCGGTATATATCACCTCCGATGACCTGGGAAGGGTACGTTGTGAGTGGCAGCTAATTGGTAGGTACGACGGCGCTGCAATGGTTTTGAAACCCCTATCCACGATAACTCTGTCGCCTATAAGAGCCTGTGTCCTGAGAAGGCCTGCTTCAACAGGCCGGGAATGAAGGTCGAGCGTGCGGTTACAGTACTTGTATCAAGCGAAAAACAGCAGCGATGATCCAAGAAGAGCCGGAACGACCATTGGGAGGTCTCAACTTCTTTATAAATTCCATTGCACCGGTATTTCATGGCACACATTCTGCTGTCAATCAGAATGGATTTGGGGGGGAAGCAAGTGAGATGAAGCTGGACCCAAGTAGGAAAGAGTGAAAAGGGATATATTACCGCAGAGAGATGGCCAAGAAAGCCATCCCGCAACAAGAAATCAGGAATAAGCCAGTCCGTTACTGGAATGGTGTACTACTACTTGTGCTCGTACTGTACTAGTACTGAAGTACTAGCACTGTCTGCCTTTCCGCTAAGCCAATTCCCCTCCTCACCCCTGTGGTCGAGGGGAGCGTCCGGGTCGCACCGCTAAAAACGAGAGGCTCGGAGTGGCACCTTAAAAGGCTGAAGAAAATCCGTAGAGAGATCTAATAGACCCCAGCTACTTCTCATTCTCATGGAAACCGCCTAGAACGCACATCACTAGGCAATTAAAACCCTCCCTTGCCGGACAAGGGTGTACCTTTCCCCAAGTGCCCCAGATAAGGCATGATCAACTACAATACCAAAGTGTTTTTTTGTTTTTTCGTTATGATAAATCCGCCACTTTATTCGTTACCCTAAGGCTACAGGAGAAATCATGGCAAACACCCTGAAGTTTGGCCTAGAATACCCGTATAGCAAAAGAAAACACAACACCCCCAACCTCGTAACAAACTAAACGGCAAAAACCACATCCACTCCATCACGATGTATCACGAGGCCTAATATACCAAAGTATTCCTAACTGTACTTATACAGCACCACACCTGTCGGTCACGAAATACCGGTATGTAAAAAGTATCGACACAGCGCAGGAGACAGGTGGGAAAGTGCAAGGTATGGAGGTGATTCTAAGTTAGTAACCTCAATATAATTCCTGCAAATTTTGGATGGGAAAGGAAGGTTACAGCCACAAAAAGCATAAATAACCGTCGAGACCGTCTGGGCTCCGCGCGCCCTCGTTAGGGTGTCTCCCAGAGCTCTGTCGTCATAGGGATACGGTAGAGTCCGTAATGAACTTCTCGAGCGTTGGGGGCCATTCTAGCACGTGGGCTTACTAGTACGAGATACGTGATGGACCAAGCAATTAATGCCGGTACGCCGCAACACTAGCACCGTGAAAAATAGTACGTACGAGTACTCGAGCATTTGGGAATTGCGCTAGGACGTCCAGAATCTCCTCCTGTAAGTTAAGGGGAGTAAGCAAGGCGGCGAAAAGGTTCTCCCCCAGCACTCAATTGGATAATTAAAAAGGGAAAAGCCCAACGAACCCTACTGTAAGGGGCGACCCCAAGGCGCTAGCAAGATTCTCAGCTGTTCTAGTCTTTTACAGTACTGTACTGTACTGCACTAGTACTCGAGTACATGAGGAACATGCGAAAGGCTTGTTCCCGTTGTTAGCACGGTATTCCAAACAGTCGCCTAACTGGTTAGTTATCGCGACCAGAGGGCGGACCTCCTGGACCTCACTATTGCCACGAGGAAACAGGGATTAATGCTGACGCTACTGTAGAACTGGTGCCGGTACTCGTACAGTGCAGCAATTATATGTTACCCTGCTTTGACATAGTCCCTTTTACCCATCTACCCCTGTTCGTCACCCGCCCAGTCCCCTCGTGGCCAAGATGACCATAATTGGTGCAGCCGCCGCACTCGAGTACCGGTACAGGTACAAGTACTAGTAATTGTAGGGAGCACCCATCTCGGCGCAAATTCCGGGAGCCCCCGTTAGCAAAGTTTCAGCTAATATTATGCGATTGGCTAAAAACTAAATCGTATGATAGAATGCGGGGTAGGATTACTGGTACCGGCAAGCAAACCAGCCCCCATGCTCCACTCAACCCGCTCTACCCATGCCTAGGACATCTACAAGTACTCGAGTACAGTACAAGTACTAGTACTTGTAAACTCCGAACGGAGCGGGCCTACATATAAAGCTAGTCCTAATATGGTGATGGACTAAGCCTAACTAGGAGGTCCCTTTCCTAATAGTTCAGCAAGAACTTCTCTCTCTCTCTCATACCGGCACTCGAGTGCGAGTACTTTACAACAAGTGCCGCCGGCTTCCTTTCTCAGACAAAGTTTGGAAGCCACTACAAAAGTCGCTCTGTAAATATGTTCCAAGAACCGATCATGGAAAACCATCACGGAACCAATTTAAAAAAATTCCATCCGCAATATGTACTTGAGATACCTCTTCATGTCGAACGCTATAATTTTATTAAACTGAGGTAATCAAAGGAACACTGCCTAACCCTATACGGGTAGGTTTTAAGGTGCTGACACCGCACGAGTGCAGAGCAATACGGTACTCGAGTACCCTACGGTAGGACCCGACACTAGTACTAGCACCCGTGTGACTCCAATGTGAAGAGTTAATTTGTTCCACCGCAGACCCGTGCCCGGTCAGGGGAACCGCCTGGGTGAAACCAGGAATCAACCCAGTTCCGCAATGTGATTACGCTGCCTTATGAATCCGAACCCCTCGACCCGATCCGCCATCGTAATATTATCCGAAGTGTTATAGGTCGCGCAAATTCCAACCCCAAAACTCAGTAGTCCCAAGGAATCATGAAGCACTCCCACCCTCTCCGTGCATGGAGTGGCCCATGATAAACGGGATTGTGGGTATAGAAGTACCATAGGAGTCACTCGTGTAGTTGAATGTATACACGTGTAGGGCGAGAGTATGATGGAGCAAAACTCCTAGCCCGATTCGGGCTGAAAATAGTTTCAAGGCTGGATAGGGTTAATTAACTGAAAACTACTTCGCCGTAACTTGAGAGCGCTTCTCGGTATCATACTACTGTACTCGTACTGTACAGTATCACAAGCCATGATCTTGGACGGGTTCTGCTTACCCGGGTTGAACTAAGCAGTCAGCACTAGCCCGGTGGCCCAGATGTGACAGAAAAACAAACCTACCAGATAATGACCCCCTCCCAGAACTAGTAACTCCTGTGAGTCGTACCGGTACGGTATTCCTGGGTTTGCAGTGTTCCTCAGTGATACCCACTCAATTTGAATTACTCCCCGCGTGCAACCCTACAAAGTTCTCCCTCCCATTGCGGAGTCTGGGATCCGGATTTCGAGCACTCAAGAAATGGCCAGCATCAAGCTTGGGAAACGGAAGGGCGATTTCTCGGCCCAACCCCAGCGAAAAGGCGAAGCCACACGTCCAATACCCCTATACATTTGGAAACCAACCCCAGCTTCCGCTAGGATAGGACCCCGATCTTCCGAATTGGTTCTCTCCGAGAGAGTTCTTTGCGGTGGTCTGCGGATTTACAAGTACTAGCACAGTAGCGGTACCGCTGATTGGCCGCTCGAGAACGCCCATCGCAAGACAAGGGCAGGGGGCATTTCGTGCATACCACGCGACGAGTCGACCCATTTTTCTTTTTTTCTTCCCCTTTTCACCTTTTTTCAACAAATGTCCAAGAGAATGTTCCGAGTTCCCGCGAGTCGGGGGGAGGAGAAAGATGATTCGATCGCACCTTGAGGAATAGAAATGCACACAGACGAAATTCTACTGTAACCCCCCCTCGAAATAAAAAAGAAATACCGCTTAACCAATTTTCAAGACATGATTTTACTCGTGTAGTTAAATGGAGTTGCTAATGTGCACCACTAAGTCACAAAAGTCATTTTTTTCCTCTTCTCTTTCCTTTCCCTGTTATTTTTTAGCTTACGGCTCAAACGTCGGTATTCATTTTGGGGGGTGTACGAGTAGTTACTGCGAGAGAAACATACAATACTCGGGGTAGGGGGATAGCATCGGGACAATCATGGATATATCCGAGTACCGGTAGAGGGCTAGTCCACAAATTCCTTCATCAGTACACGGTGGCCGAGACCGCTGGGTACTCGTACCTAGATAGGAAAATACGCCGCCGGTCTAATAGCCAAGCCACAAAAAAACTGCAGGCACTTTTTTTTAATTCTTTACCTCCTGCCTTTCCCGATACTCGAGTACTTTTCCCCTATCCCGAACACATGCCGCCGCTATCCAGCTTGACTACCGTAAATCCCTTGTGGTCGACAATAAGATTATCCTCGGAAACCAGGCCGTCAGCCAAAGATAAGTTCTACTTGATAGGTCAAGAGAATTGCGAGTACTAGTACAATACGATACGTAACTTTTTGCACCAAGCCCCGACTCTTCCTCTGTCATCGCCATGCACGTCCCATCAAATCTGGGGACACGCGGTCTTCCAATTCCTGACCCCTGGGGTTGAATATCGTCCTCGGGGAGAACTGAACTTGGAGCCGGGGAAGGACGAGCTCGCCGGAACCGTGGCGTTGTATGATATCTTACCGTTAGGGCATGGCCCCGCCGTCAGATGTGGTGTTACCGTAAGTTTATGACGCCCTATGAGTTGTGTTTCCAAGTTATCATATCATACCTAGGGAATACGGAGTTTCGCGATATTAGAAGTCTAACTCCCGGAGATCGAAAAAAGTTAAACTACAGCGATTCTTGATGCAGTATCAGACCCAGTTAAGAGACCTGGCGGATTCAATCCTGGATAGGGTTTTCTCCTATTTATCTTCCTTTCCGTCTGTGAACCTACCTTACTGGACTCATACTTTATCATATGTTTCCAGCCTTACACTCTAAATTCACAACTTTGATCATTGGTATCTCACCCAAAGCAGTACGTACAGAATCAACAAGAGTACCACAGCGCCATCGGCTCCAAAATTTCCCAGGACCCCAGCAAAAGTGGTGATTACTTCCACTCTCGCGTGAGCACTGATGGCTATATATTTGCCCTAGGAAATCTGGCAAAGCACCTCTATATGGAAACCCGGTAAAGGTTTCAATGTATCATATCATATCATAAATTTATCTTTTTACCTTACCCTAAATGCTCCTGATATATTATTCTCAAAATCTATTGGTAGATTTTAACCTTTTTTTTTTTTTTACAAGAACGGGTTCCATATGATTTAAAAGTTTTAACAAGTTTTTTTTTTTTTTTTACCAAAGCAATCAAGACGAGAGGCTCTGAGGGTGAAGTTTCTCATTTTTTGGACTCAGATGCCAAACCTGCGGTCCAGTACTTGTACTACCGGTATTCATGAGTTTTGGTGCCGGGATCGTACCCGCACAACACCGTACCTGAGTATATTGCAGCACTGGCAACAGGGACGTTTCTGTGGTCCCCTCATGCGATGGGTTGTATGTGATGGGATTCCCTACGAACATTGCTTATACTCGAGCACGAGTATGATACCTGCTGTCCTTTAGCAGCATCTGCATCTCCTCCATCTCTCTGCCTCCACGCAACTTTCTTTAAAAACCCCTCACCCCATCCCATCCGTCCCTTAGGGGTGAGCATAGCCTAGACCGCGGCTACATTAACCAAAACTCTCCAGTCACGAATACTACGATCTCCAGATAACAAACCGAAAGTTCTCCATCCCATTCCCGCTCCAGCCCCGGCGAGAGTGAGGATGTCGAAAACGATAACCCCAATCCACAGGAACTGGGTCTTCAGGCAATCATCCTCCACGGCCTCGGATCTAGCACAATTTCGCCCTGTCTCGCAGTTCCCAACAAACGTGCATCTAGACCTCCTCCACCACGGATTGATCCCCAACCCATTCTTTGCGAAACAGGAAGTGGACGTGCAGTGGGTGGGGGAGGGAGGCTGGATCTATAGGACCAGCTTTGCAACCCCCGGGGCGCATAGGGTACGAGGAGGTGAGAAGGATGTGCTCGTTTTCGAAGGGCTGGACACCTATGCTACCGTTAGGGTTAATGGGAAGGAGGTTTTGAGGTGCGATAATATGTTTGTTACGCATCGAGTGGATGTCACCGGTATTTTGAAAAGGGGTGGTGGTGACGAGGAGGAGGGGGAGCGGGAGAATGAGTTGGAGGTTGAGTTCGACAGCGCGTTTTTAGCGGGAAAGAAGGTTGTTGAGGCGTGGCCGGACCACCACTGGGGATGCTGGAATGGGGATGTCAGTCGGCTTGCGGTGAGGAAGGCGCAGTATCATTATGTTTGTTCCCCCCATTCGTGGCTTGAAGGCAGTTGATTTACCGAGTTAGGGATGGGATTGGGGCCCGACATTGCTTACCTGCGGACCTTGGAGGCCAGTTTACCTCGAGTCCTACAACAGCAGCATTGCCGAACTCCACTTCACCATCCACGTTCCCTCAAGTCTGCGTGACGTTGTTGTCACCGCGACAGCCGAGGTTGAGGGTCCGTGCAGCGAGGTTGTCTTCACGTTGACTTCCGCCTCCGGAGTGAAGATCTCTCCATCAACCGCTTCGGTATCGAGGTTCAAGAGTGGGAACGGAGCAATTGCAGAGGCCAAGTTTGAGGTTGCCGACCCAGAGCTATGGTTCCCGCACGGATATGGTGCGCAGCCATTGTACAAGCTCAGCGCCGTCCTCGGAGATCATATCGACAAACTCTCGAAGACTCTCGGTATTCGGAGATCGCAATTAACCCAAAGGAAGTTTGACGAGCCAGAAGAGAAAGGGGAGACGTTCCTCTTCGAGATTAACAACGTTTCGATATTTTGCGGCGGAAGCAATTGGATCCCGGCGGATAGCTTTATCCCCAGGATTACCGATGAGCAATATCAAGAGTGGCTAGAGTTACTTGTGGCCGGGAACCAGGTCATGGTTAGGTAATGCTCCCCCCCTCCCTTCCACCAACGGTGAGAGTGAGAAATACTTACCAGGTGACATCCATGACTTAGAGTGTGGGCCGGTGGCATCTACGAAGAACCAATATTCTACGAAACATGCGACAAACTCGGTATTCTTGTCTGGCAGGATTTTGCGTTCGCCTGCGGAAACTACCCTGCCATGATCCCCGCCTTCCGCGAGAACGTCCGGAAAGAAGCTATCGATACCGTCAAGAAGCTCAGGCACCATCCTTCGATCGTCATCTGGGCAGGAAATAACGAGGACTATGCGTATGTCGAGGGCCAGCCGAACCAGCTCGGATACAAGTACGAAGACAAGAATCCCGATAACTGGCTCAAAACTGGATTCCCCGCGAGATATATCTACGAGAAGATATTGCCGGAAGTGGTTGCAGCGTACGGAGGTGGTGTTCCATATCATCCTGGAAGTCCCTTCACTCCCGGAAATGGTGATAGCGCAGATAAAACGGCTGGTGATATCCATCAGTGGAACGGTGGGCCTCCCTATTCCCCTCTATCCCTATTCCCGACTAACAAATGCCAGTCTGGCATGGAAACCAAGATAGATATCAAGACTTCGACACCCTTGCCGGGCGCTTTGTTAGTGAATTCGGTATGCAGGCCTTCCCTGACATCAAGACAATCGACTCCTACCTTCCCAAAGACTCCAAAGACCGCTACCCACAGAGTTCGACCATAGACCACCATAACAAAGCCACCGGGCACGAGCGCCGCATAGCCCTCTACTTAGTAGAAAACCTCCGCCACACATTCTCCCCCATAGAGAAATACATCTACGCCACGCAATTGATGCAGTCCGAATGCCTATCAACCGCATACCGCCTCTGGCGCCGCCAGTGGAAGGGCCCCGGGAAGGAGTATGTTGCTGGAGCACTCGTCTGGCAAATCAACGACTGCTGGCCGGTGACCAGTTGGGCGATTGTGGACTACTACCTTCGACCCAAGTATGCTTATTTCGCGATTAAGCGGGAGTTGGAGAAGTACACAATTGGCATGAAGAGGGTGCAGGTCAAAACCCCCAAAGACAAGTACACGAATGCGTACATCGACGTAGACGAGAGAGTGCAGGTTTGGATCGGAAGTTTAAAGACCGAGGGAATTAAGGGCGCTAGCGTAGTTATCAAGGCTTTCGATGTCGGTGGGGAGAAGATTGCCGAGAAGACGTTAAAAGACGACGTAGCTCTCGAGGGTAACCGGTCCGTGGAGATCGCAGATATACGCATCCCCGGCTGGGACGGAAAAACAGACTCACATCGGGATATCGTCCTAGCAGCGTACCTAATTGGCAAAGACGGAAGCACCCTTGCCCGAAGAATCGGGTTTTCCGAACCGCTAAAGTAACCACACACTCCCTTTCCATTCCCTATTGCTAACAAGAAACAGATACCTAACCCTCCAACCCCCCAAATCCCTCAAAGCCAGTGTAGAAGAAGGGCACGTACACTTATCCTCAGATGTTCCCGTTAAGGGCGTTGTGGTCGAGTCCTCAAAAGAAGGCGTCGTGTTTGAAGATAACTGCATAGATTTAGTGCCCGGTGAGACGGTCTGGATTGGGGTTAAGGGGTTGGTGAAGAGTGATGATGTTATGCTTCAATACTTATCGTAGGGGGTAGAGCTGGAGTAGTGGTTTACTGCTACGAGTGAAATCAAGAATCAACTGTTTCCAGTTAAGGACAGGCGCGGGTTGATTGTAACGTTCGACAGCACCTACTACAAGTAGGAAGAAAATTAAATAATAGACAAAGCTACCCCAAAGACAATTCCCAAACTTATTCCGCAGCAATCGCAGGTAACGGGAAAGGAGAAAAGGGAAGAAAAAAGCGCGAAAAAGGCACAGATTCCGAGCCCCCACGAGTAGTAATAGTATCATACTCAAGTATGAAAACAATAGGTGCATGGGTCCGGGAAGCCAATGTTTGAAGCGGGTGCCAGTTCCCGGGGCAACGGAGTCAGGTACACTTGCAACCACCGCTATTCCCCCAGTGCAGTTCATAATAAAGCTTCATGGTAGACTAGTTGATAGGGTCGCGAGCGCCACCACCCCCCTTGAGGGAGATAGGGTACTGACCTAAATGAAAAACGCCACCTCGTTCGCACTAATTGCTGCGGCGGCCACTGGTAGCCCATGACCGACTCCCTCTGCCCATTTCACTAGCTCTCTAGAGATGTTTCATCTTCACAACTGATCACTCACTCACAATGTGAATTTTGTATGGCCGAGAATGGGAGAAAATGAAGCTTGATTCCCTTTTTCCCGCATACCAGTGCGGGTTTTTATCATAGACGAAAAGTAAAAACATGAGGAAAAAGCCGAGACTGGCACCATATGACAACCTCGGAGAAAGAGAACTCAAAAGAAAAGATACCATATATGAGAACCTCGGGTGAGGAGAAAAAGTCATATGAAAGACTCAGAAGAAAATAACAACAAGTGAAACAAAAGGTATCATGCCTTGGTTGCATATAGCATGGCTATAAGGTCCTGAGACGAGAAACGAAGGAGATAAAAAAAGCCATAGAAAAAACTAACCAAAGAAAGAATAGTAAGGAAACTAAGCAAAAAGAAAACTAGTCTGTATGGCGGATAAATACTAAATCCAACACCCCCTTTCGACAAACAGACCATAGGCAGAGAAAAATAAACAAAGTAAAAATAAAATACCACTTCAGGGCAATACACCAATCCGTGAGAGTAGCAAACAGTGCCTCTGAGGACCCAAAGGCTTAGTACAAATATCAGCAAGCATGTCCAAAGTACCAACAAACTCTAACAGGACCTGCCCATTACAAACAAACTCATGTAGCCAGCGATAACGAACATCAATATGTTTAGTATGCTGGGTTATCGCACCAGTCTCAACAAGCCTCTTAGCTCCAGCATTGTCTGTAAAGAGTGTAACATGAGAGGTAGGACACTGGGAAACAGGTTGGGTATCGAGCTGCTGTAGAAGTGAATCCAACCAGATAGCCTCCTTTCCAGCAACAGAAAGTGCAATGAACTCCGCCTCATTCATAGAAGTCGCTATCAGCGACTGCTTGCTAGCATGCCAAGAGACAGGAGCGCCAAAAATAAGGGCAAGATAGCCTTGAACACTATGGCGGTGGTGCTCGCGGGCATAGCTGGCATCACTATACATCGATATAGTAGGAAAAGAAAAGACAGCAGAAGAGGGAAAAAAGGTAAGACAGTAGCTCTTAGTTGTATGGAGGTATCGGAGAAGGCGTTTAAGGGCTCGCCAGTGGTGCTGAGTCGGTGACTGACTATACTGCGCAAGGATAGAGATTGAATAGGCGATATCGGGGTGCGTTGCGAGCATAGCATACATTACAGAGCCAATTGCGGATCGATAAAGAGTGGAATCAATAGGTGGACCATCGGTCATCCCTGGAGTACTATCAAAGCTAACATCCATTGGTGTTGATTGGTTGCGTACAGCTGAAGAATCCAGATTGAACCGTTCCAGCATCCGAGTAATGTAAAGCTCCTGGGAGAAGGAAATTGAGCATGCATCCAGTTTCCGTGTAATCTTAATACCTAAAAGGAATTCAATGTCGCCTAAATCCTTAATTTCAAACCGTTCCTTAAAGTGGTCTAATAGTTGATGAACCTCCTTCCTGGAACCACAGAGGATAATATCATCGACATAGAGTAGCAAGTAGCCCCCACCAGGAGTGAGAAAGAGTCCATGATCTGCAGTAGACTGCCGGAGGCCAATACTCAGGAGATAATCATGAAAAGTCCCAAACTACTCACGTGGTGACTGCTTTAAGCCATAGATAGAATGTAAAAGACGGACAACCTCACCGGTAGGTAGTCGTAAATAAATATCGGCATGGAGGTCGGCACCCAAAAATGCGGTAACAATGTCCAATTGGTTAATAACCAGTCCCCTAGCAGCAGCCAATGCAAGAACCGTCCGAATAGTTGACCATCGGACTACCGGAGCATAGGTCTCCTGATAGTCAATTCCAGGAACCTGGCGATCACCACGAGCCACCAGCCGTGCCTTAAAGCGTGAGAGCACACCAGCTAAGTCATACTTGCACCGAAGTATCCAACATGAAGGAATAGCCTTTCGACCTTGAGGCAGGACTGCAGCACGCCACACACAATGTCTCTTCATAGCTCCAAGCTCCTCCGCAATTGCCAATTCCCACTGTGACCTATCCGGCCCACCAAGAGCATCACGATAGGAGATAGTTCCATCCAAGGAAACAAAAGCAAATTGAGAAAAGGAAGACAAGGCAGACTCAGTAGAGGAGGAAGCAGATAAGGAAGTAGAAGACAGGCCAGAAGTAGGCAGAGAGACAGAAGACAGTGCAGGAGACGGGGTATCTACTACAAAGAGAGGAGGAGTATCAACTTCCACAATGTCCTCATAGGAACGCGAAGCAGACTCATCAAAATAAACATCTCGAGCGCGTATAACACGTTGGGTATCAGGAAAGTAAATACGAAATATATTAGTCCCATCATAGCCAACCAAGATACCAGGCCGGGAATGTGACTCGAACTTATTGCGGAGCACCCTTGGAACATGAACATATACCGTAGAGCCAAAAACTCGAAGATGGTCAATATAAGGTGGCTTCCCATTCCATAGCTGAAATGGTGTCATATGATTAGGAAGAGAGGATGTTGGTGACCGGTTGCGTAGGTAGACAGCAGTCTGAAGAGCCTCTGCCCAAAGCATTGGGGGTACATCGTTTTCATGCAGCATCGAGTTAACCATTTCCACGAGGGTCCGATTCATACGTTCAGCCATGCCGTTCTGCTCGGGACTGTAGGGAACCGTAAACTCATGCGTAATACCTGAGGTACTGAGATATTCAGTGAAGGCTGAAGCCGCTGGTGTGTGATCTAGACGCCGATCCAGTGAGGCACCATACTCCAAAGCATTATCAGAGCGGAGAAACTTCATCCTAGTCCCCTTAAGCCTTTCCAACTTAAGATGCAACATCTTAAATGCATCAAAAGCTTCTCCCTTGGTACGCGAAATAGAGACAATAACAAAGCGAGACATATCATCAATCCAAGTCACAAAATACTTCAGACCACCAACAGATGGAACTGGAGCTGGTCCCCAAATATCTGAGTGAATCCTCTCTAGTGTTAGGGGGTAGGTAACTCTAAAGTCAAGCGAGTATACACTAGGCCCTGTAATCTTCTGTCTCGGAGATAGTCAAGAAGGCTCGTAAAGATAGAAGTAAAGTAGAACGAATATATTGATAAGATCTCTTCTCCGGTCGCTGATGATAGACTAAAAAGCTCGGGAGGCACCTCGATATTTATAGGAAGCGCGTCTGGGTGGTCGCGCCCTACATCCAATCCCTTACTGACTATGTACCTGCCATACTAACGATTCAGTGTCTTTAGAGTGGGCACTCCGTTTGACCCTGAAAACTAACGTCCTCGCTCTCTTCCTAAGTGGAGTGATCAGCTCCGTTCAAAGGACTTATCAATGACTCTTCTATGTGCATAGCTTAGAGTGCATGACGAAGATAACAAACCCAACTACTGAGTTGTTATTAACCAATCGTAAACTAGTCTCCGGATGACTCTAGTTATACGTGAGCAGAGGATGGTGCGTCTACTTCTCGGAATAGCGCACCAAGACTTCCAGAGGTCATAGCTCAATAACTAACCGACCAATCTGGTTCAAATAAGTCTTATCTTGTAGAGCGGAGCTCCTTCCATGTTATCCAGCGAAAACCCCTCGGTCGCTTATCTTACATCTCCGCGGAGAGAGGCATGTATGTCCTCTGCTCCGACGGCCGATGTATGGTTCAGTTGTCTTATCTTACGTCAAATTAATTGACGTAATGATAATTGCGACGGGGCCCGGAGTCGAACACGTGACCTTATGCATTTAGTCACGTGCCGCACCGATTACGCTGTCTAAGTATAACATCTAGGAGTACCTTCGCACGAGGCATGGGTTCCCGAGATGGTTGTCTATGCTACTTGCCCTTCAGACAAGGAAGACAAGGCTTATCAATCTCCATCCCAGGCACAATCCGCATACCTAAAGAACTATGCACCAATGTCCGAACAGAAGAGGAGTTCAGATGACCGAGCCGTCGGTGCCAAGTATTTAGTGTCTCCATAGCAGTCTTCAAGGTAGTACTCTGAAGACTGGAGAGTGGAGCTGCTACAGTCAAATCAAGATCCACCGCAGAGGCATCTGAGTCAGAGGGTAGCGTGGGCTGGTCCGGAGCAGGAGCTCCTAGCAGGACACTAGATATAGAAGCAGAAGAGGAAGAAGAAGGAGAAGAAAAAGAAGAAGAAGTAGCTGGAGGAGAGGGTGGTATCGGCATAGCCATGGTAGCTGCCTGTGATCTTGTAGTAACAAAGGCAGTGGGTTGGAAACGAAGCTGATAAAGCCGTTCAACAGAATATCCATAGAGCACCGCACGGCCATTCTTAACTACCTCAATACCACCAGAGGAAGAGGAATAAGTAGCTCCACGCTCCTGCAGTTGCCCCAAAGATACCAGACTAACATTCCCAAAGCCCGGAGCATGGTAGACATTACTCAAGGTAACCGTAAGGCTACCTGAAGGGGTAGTAACAGGAAGGACTGCAGTACCAACAGCAATGGCATCAACACTCTCGCCATTTCCAACTCTGATAGGAAGTGGAGACTCAAGAGAAACATAGTCTTGGAGAAAGATGTCTGAGCAAGTGATGTGATTAGTACAAGCAGAATCAAGATATCAAACTGCGAAGGACTCAGAGCCCATAGACCGAGGATGACCACTAGGAGCTAAAGCAGAGAGAGCACAATCCGCATCGGTAATCTCAGTAACATGAGTAGAGTGGGAGACTTGGGAAGCATCTCGAGTAGACCTGGGACTGCTTCTTTGAAAGGAGGAAGAGCGTTGAGGGCGCTTATGAGGAAAGTGTTGCCAGCAATTCTCGGAGGTGTGGTTGGAGCGATTGCAGTGAGCACATTGCCGGCGACTGGCTTGAGGGCTAGAAGGTTGTGGGCTACTATGAGTATGCTGAAAATGAGAACATACAAAACCGGATTTCCTATTCCCTGCCTTCACACTCCGACCACCAGATGTGGTGTTAGGGGGTAGGTAACTCTAAAGTCTAGCGAGTATACACTAGGCCCTGTATTCTTCTTTCTCGGAGATAGTCAAGAAGGCTCGTAAAGATAGAAGTAAAGTAGAACGAATATATTGATAAGATCTCTTCTCTGGTCGCTGATGATAGACTTAAAGCTAGGGAGGCACCTCGATATTTATAGTCCGCATCTGGGTGGTCGCGGCCTACATCCAATCCCTTACTGACTATGTACCTGCCATAATAACGATTCAGTGTCTTTAGAGTGGGCACTCCGTTTGACCCTGAAAACTAACTTCCCCGCTCTCTTCCTAAGTGGAGTGATCAGCTCCGTTCAAAGGACTTATCAATGACTCTTCTATGTGCATAGCTTAGAGTACATGACGAAGATAACTAACTCGACTAACGAGTTGTTATTAACCAATCGTAAACTAGTCTCCGGATGACTCTAGTTATACGCGAGCAGAGGATGGTGCGGCTACTTCTCGGAATAGCGCACTAAGACTTCCAGAGGTCATTGCTCAATAACTAACCAACCAATCTGGTTCAAATAAGTCTTATCTTATAGAGCGGAGCTCCTTCTCTGTTATCCAGTGAAAACCCCTCGGTCGCTTATCTTATCCCATGGATAGTGAAAGGGTAAAGACTTGCACGATGCCTTATCGTTTTGTACGGTAATATGATACCGTCACGATAACTGTGGCGGGGCCCGGCGTCGAACACGTGACCTTATGCATTTAGTCACGTGTCGCACCGATTACGCTGTCTAAGTATAACATGTGGATCCAGAAATATATAAGGCAGAATGCGGATTGTGGGAGTTGCTAGGTCGTTCCACAGCCAGCCGTAGCTCCTCTGCGACAAGTGTTTGATGGATTAAAGTGAGACTGACTTGCTGGGTAAGCGACAGTGAGGTGCGAACAGTACGAACAACCTGTTCATAAGACCTTGGAAGACCATCAAGGACCTGATTCACAAGTTGTAGACGAGAAAGGGTAATGCCGACAAAGGATAGACGAAAGAAAAGATTATTTGCCTCTGCAACATAGCTGTCAACTGTCTGGCCCGAGCGTAGACGAAGACTTTGAAACTGCATCTGAAGAGTACTCTGATGAGCAATAGTACTCGCTTCAAACCGTGTGACCAGAAACTTCCAAACCTCTTGGGGATCAGTAATAGAAAGCAGCATGGAGAGAAGATCCTCGTTAATATGTGATTCGATAAGGTCCAAGGCCCGCGCTGCACGTAGCTGTTCATCTGCAGTCTCGGCAATAGCGGCTCGCTCAGCTGCCCGTGTCTCCCGAGTGACCTCCGCAGAAGCCTTCGGAACACTGCTTGGATCGACAACATCCCAAAGCTGTTCAGCACGGAGATGGTTTGACATTCGGTGTTTCCACAAGGTCCAGTTATGGGCAGTAAGAAGTGGGCATTTCAGAACCCGAGTCCGGTCGGTATTGCCACCCGACCAGGTAGTAGTAGTAGACATTTTCAGTAGAAAGAAAGTAGCCAAAGTAAAAATGAAATTGCGAGATATAGGAAAATCAAAAGAGTACTGATCAGTGAAAAAATCAGGAAGCAAAAGGGCTCATAACCTGTGAATTTTGTATGGCCGAGAATGGGAGAAAATGAAGCTTGATTCCCTTTTTCCCGCATACCAGTGCGGGTTTTTATCATAGACGAAAAGTAAAAACATGAGGAAAAAGCCGAGACTGGCACCATATGACAACCTCGGAGAAAGAGAACTCAAAAGAAAAGATACCATATATGAGAACCTCGGGTGAGGAGAAAAAGTCATATGAAAGACTCAGAAGAAAATAACAACAAGTGAAACAAAAGGTATCATGCCTTGGTTGCATATAGCATGGCTATAAGGTCCTGAGACGAGAAACGAAGGAGATGAAAAAAGCCATAGAAAAAACTAACCAAAGAAAGAATAGTAAGGAAACTAAGCAAAAAGAAAACTAGTCTGTATGGCGGATAAATACTAAATCCAACACACAAGTCGGAGTCACAACGGCAAATTGCGGCACCAATCGCTGGCAAATTGTAAAGTACTATGCCGTACTTCTCCTACCCCACGAGCCTAACCCGCCGGTTTAAATTACATCGCCCCCAAGCTGTATTGATAACAGATCCTCTCGTCACTCACAGCCTGAATTCTGAGCTCATAATACAAAACTAAAAGGTTAGGGTTTCGCTCTCGGCACAACAACGTTCTTGGGTAGAACATGGAATTCAGGCTAAAATGATAAGCTATGATGAACGCTTGCGTCAACAACAGGCGACATCCAAGAGACGGGGAACAAACTTCCCCATAGAATTGATAACTTAATAAAATCAGAGACGGTTGTTCCGTTTTTCTTCTCTCCCTCTTCCCCCTCCCTTCGGTTCCCCCCAGTTAGCCAGTGCGAGTTAGGAACCCTTTACCCCACTTTCATTGACAAAAGTCTCGTATCCGTTCACCGCCTGCTTTCTTCATCACCACTCCATATTCATTCACATTTTGTCGGAAAAATGTCTCCCAAGAACCCTTCCTTCGTATTGAAGTCCATCAAAGACGTTACCTTCGAGGAACGTCCAGTGCCAAAAATTCAAAACCCAACAGACGTGCTCATCCGGGTGAACGTTACCGGGATCTGCGGCTCAGATGCAAGCCCCTTCTATCCCTCCCCTGTTCTTCTTTATGAAAAAGAATGAAGGAAAATCTAAAACAAACAACAGGTACACTACTGGCAACACGGCCGCATCGGTGACTTTATCCTCGAAGCCCCCATGGTGCCCGGCCACGAATCTGCTGGCACGGTCGTAGAAATAGGGCCCAAAGTGACTTCACTAAAGCCGGACGACCATGTGGCCCTCGAACCCGGTGTCTCCTGCCGCCGCTGTCCGTTTTGCAAGGCGGGGGAGTACAACCTCTGCATAGACATGAAGTTCGCCGCGACACCGCCATACGATGGGACGTTAGCAAAGTACTACGTCCTCCCGGAGGACTTTTGCGTGAAGCTTCCGGAAAGTGTGAGTCTCGACGAGGGCGCACTGGTGGAGCCACTGGCGGTAGGCGTGCACGTGGTCCGGAAAGCGGGCGTCAAGCCGGGCGACTCGGTAGTCGTGTTTGGCGCGGGCCCCGTGGGGCTGCTATGCTGCGGTGTTGCGAAGGCATTCGGCGCAACGAAGGTTATAGCAGTGGACATCATCGACTCAAGGTTGGAATTTGCAGAGAGGTATGCTGCAACGGGGACATTCAACGCCACTCACTCTAAGAACCCCAACGTCAACGCTGCTCAAATCATTAAGCTCTTCGATCTTGAATTTGGTGCCGACGTCTCTATCGACGCTAGTGGTGCTGCCCCCAGCATAAACACGTGTGTGCACGTCCTCCGCACAGGGGGGACTTTCGTGCAGGTTGGTATGGGCACTACCGAGATCGCTTTTCCCATTTTGAAGCTCTGTGCCAAGGAGATTACCCTGAAAGGTAGCTTCAGGTATGGTCCCGGCGACTATAAACTCGCTGTGGAACTTATCGCTAGCGGAAAGGTTATGGTGAAAGAGTTGATTACAGGGAGAGTCAAGTTTGAAGACGCGGAGAAAGCATTCGAACAAGTGTTAAACGGGCAGGGCATTAAAACGCTAATTGATGGACCCTTGGATTGATCTTCTTTATGAAAAGCTTTTTCTTTATCACACTTCCCTTTGTTGCTATCATTATTATTAATTCCTCCTATGCCAGGTGGAGATAGGGAGTGGAGTACGGCACCGTGGTGCGGGAGTGATGCAAGGGTGCACGGTTTTTTTTTATTCTGATCAGTTAATGTCTCCAATCCCCGGCGATCATAAATCCCCCCAATGCTACCGGCAATCAAGCATTTGTGAAGATGGTCAGATAAAAATAAACCCGAATCACACATGGGGATCGTGAAAAGAAAGATACCAAACATAAAAGTCTTAAACCTTGTATATTCCGGATCATGCAAATTGAGTACTAAGTTACCAGCAGACAGAAGAGGTCAGGTTTTCCTGCAGCGGAACGCAGGGAAAAGATATATCAACCCAAGTACGGGCACCATGAGGGTGGAATTATGTACAGACATCGACCCCATTGCGTTATAAATTTTCTGTTTCCCTCCCCGTCCCACTTAGCAGGCAGCTAGCCCCCCCCCCCCCCTGTAATCGTGGACTATACACTTCCGAGCTTTATCGGCAGTCTTGAAGCAAAAAAAATACCCCTTCCTTTGTTGACCTACCCCCGATCACATCTCGAACTGATAGAAACCATCATACAATTTCCCAATAGCAGGTCGACCCAGAACCTGTAGAACAGACATTGTGCGTCAAAGCAGTGTTGAGGTGGTAGAACAAAAATACTGCATCCCAATATGAGTAGCTTTACACAATGTTTTATTCAAGATCCCAAAGTAATCTTGCCAAGAAGTGGTACGATTACCCAAGAAAAGGCAATTATTACTTGCATTATCCTCATGTATGCTTGGTTATCTGTGGCTTGGAGACTTCAGTCACTATATTATCGCTTATCTATACAACAAACGCACCTCTCAAGTTATCCTAATTTGCCGTGTGGTGCCGCTCAGGCCGGGATATGACATCACGGGCGGGAATACGGGTAAGCCAACCCATCATACCCAATCGCCCACCCTTCAGTCGGCACTCACAGGTGCGCAACATAAACGACATACAAGTGAACTTTACCGACCGACCATCCTTCTAGACTCTACGCATGGTTAGTTAATTGGCGAGGTATATCACAACCCTGTTGAAGCTTCCCCCCTAGCCCCCGACCCCACAGAATCTAGCTATAACTCCGCGCAAGCAAAGTCAGGCACGAAACCCGCAAAATAAAACCGGGGGAAATGCCGAGGGGTTTCCAGGCATAAACATTTTTGGATTGTGAGTTGGTCGGGTAGCGCCCGTAAGGGCTTAGATGGCGCAGTGGGCTCCGTGGGGTGGCAGTAGTACAGTGGGGCCAGATGGGACGAGAGATCGGATAAGTTAGTGATATGTCACGGAGGTCCTGTGCGATAGGGAAGGAAGGTCTCCAGAGCTGTGGTGCGAATTATAATATTGTCTACTTGGCTCCATCGTGCATAGCTTGCTGGCCGGGGCTGACCTGCACGAGTAGATCGTGACAGGCGATGAATGGGCTTTGTCCCTGGTTTTATGAACACGCGCTTTAAGCCCTCTCTACTTGTTGGGGCATGTAAATTGCCTTCACAGTTAATCACTCATAATGGGACCTCAGGCAACCGCCCATCGCAACCTTCTAAAGGACCGGTATGATACTCACTCTGTTACATCATGCCCCCGCCCCAGCTTAATATCTTTTGTCTAGCTTTATCATTAGTACAATAGTAGAAAAAACATTGGGATCTAACTACACAGCCCAGATAAAAATATTATAGAAAAAAATAATAAAGAGAGGAGTAGATCCTTTGAATATACATGCAAGTGGCACAACTATGATAATTCAAACGGATAGTATTTGGGGGAAAGAAGGTCGTAGTGTATGATTGGATCTTGTGCCTTATCAGTCGTCATAACATCAGATTTCAATCTGGAGTTGAGCCAGAATGACTTCTTGCCTGGTCAGGACGCCATAGGTGTTATCGTAACTTTTCTTTTCAGGCTCTTAAATGCCTTACTTCCCCTCCCGCATGAAATTGCCCATTTAACCAACCCCTCCTCCGGGAAAGTAAGAAGGAAGGAAGAGAGAAAGGATATTTCAAAAGTGGTTTATGGACCTGATTTTATTATGAAGCTCTTTGGACCTCTTTTTACAGTTACTTTACGTTTGGTTAGCATAAGCACTATCTGTTTCTCCCTTTACTCCATCTGCTCTCTCCCATACACTGTCTACAGATGTAGCCACTCTTTCAATAGTACCAGGAGGAATAACAATTATCATACCCCCGCTCAATATCTTTTTGCCCTTCCCCCCCTTCTACGATGTCCTGCCGATCTGTACTTCACTCTCATGATAGAGGTATCATATGTATAACCCAGTGTCGCGTCATACCCCGCCACACCACTCCGCAGCAGGTCAAGTCCGATTCACCCTCCAATGCGATGGAAACCTAGCTCTTCAGTCCCCCAGTGCCCTATAAAAAAGTGATCTGCTGCTTTCTCTTACCCTACTTGACGGATCCCCGAATACTAACTCGTAAGAGAATTGAGCCAGTTCCAGGCTCCCCCTAATCAATTTCATGGGGATTAACCGAGAGGTGATATCCATCCTACCAGTTAGGTATGTTCTGTTTTTTTTTCGGTAGTTAGTTAAAGATAACGATATTCCAGTTTTTCTGGGAAAAGGTGGGAAAAATATGGTCAATTCATTATCTAAGTAAAGACTCCACCAAGAGAAATTATAAAACTGAATCATAAACATAGTCCCCGATATCTAACGTCAATGGGGTAATCGCGGTCTAAATAACACCAATGAAAAAACGGTAGGTTCGGATCCGAAAGAGACAAGTCCTGGGGGGGGGGCAGACTATACGAGTACGCACGTACAGCGAAAAGTCTTGGGGCATCCACCGAAGATCATCCCACAATAATACTTGCATATCACCCTCGAGATCTTGAAGAGGTCGGAAACGGTTTCCACCCTTTGTGGTTGGGCCGAAACCCCCCCAGCCCGATAACACCCCACCCACAACAAAGATATCTAGCAGGAAGATTCTCTTGCGTCTGCAACCAAGTCATCGATATCTATTGGTTACACTTTCGTTCCGTTCCTCCCTTCCCCCCGGCATCCCTCTCCGCCCGATAGGGGTTCCTCGCTCCTGGGCATAGGGAGAGGACAGGAAAAGGAACAGAGCTGATTAGATGGGAGTACCATATTCAGACAGAAAATTTCACGAAACCTCGAGGGAGTAGGAAATTATTTGCTCGTTTTGCAGTGGATCAAAAAATCTTTACCCAGATTCCAGCACCCGATAATCCCGAGATCCCCTAGGAAGACTGGCTTGGTATTCGCCAGCCCACACTATTTATGGTAGAGGGATGATGAGCCACGCTACGGTTCACAGCCCATCTCTTTTTTTAGGTGCTATGGCGCCCTGCGCCCGACACGCTAAGGGCAATCGGATTATAGCCCCGGGCATGACCCGGTCAATCTGACAGGTTCCGTCCTCTCAGAATAGAAAGCTACTTTATTTATACATCACTCGACATGCGAGTTCTAATCTTAACCCTGCTTAAATTACCGGTAGGCGACAAAGCTTCCCCCACTCGATAAATTCTTCACAATCCTACAGAGTTCGGGATACGGCCCCTGCCCTAGTAATGCTTCCCCGGATTGCTAAATCCCAGGGTTATTCGGGGCAGATAATAAAACTGGAACATTTTTTCCCGAGTAGAACGCCCATTAGCAAACCTAAACATAGATATTCCTACCTAGTTCCTCTATTCCATTTGTTTGAACAGCTTTTGGAGCAGATATGACGGACGACACAATCATGAAACATCACTCATGCTGCTGCCGCCGTGCTTCCAAACCCCCCACCTTTCCTCTTCTATCCTTTGTCACCACCTACGGGTCCACAATCCGGGCCAAAGGCGGTCGTGTTAAGATGCCCCTACCATGAACAGGCTGCTAGAAGCTGACCGGTCTCCTGTATAACCCTTAGCAGTCCCTGTGAGGGGCCTGCTCAGGAACTCTACTAGAAGTTCCGTTTGGTATTCTCAACCAAGTCTAAGATATCAGCGGCTTCTATCTCTCACCACCCTTTTCAGTTCTGGCTTACTTCATTCAGTTCCCCTTGACTTGCCAAAGATGCGCCCCCGTTCCTAGGCGGTTGAGGCTATTGCAGAAGGTAGTGAGGGATCTGGCCAGATAAGTTATCACTTCGCACTTTTTTGATAGGGTGTACAGCACGTATATAGATATATAGACAATAGTCCCGAATTCCGATATCCTAGCTCAGGAGATTACATCCAACTTTCAAGTTGGGTGCTGCGAGTAGTAAATAGAGTTCCTTGATGCTTTCCCCAACTCCGCTCTTCCACCAGAAAATATTTACGAGTGATATTCTGTGATCTCACAACCAACAAGTACTTTTCATATGACCGGTAGGATACACAATGTCACTTCTACCAGCAAGGGCATAATAGGGAGTAGTTTAGCTAGGCTTCTTATGTATAGATATAAAATAATAATAATCCCGAACTCCACGTACTATTATCTTCTCCCGCTTCAATCTTCCTCTAACACATGGCCCTATCACCCGAATTCTTTCCCCGATGCTTCCTTATGCATTATTCAGGATATCATCCTCAATCACATGAGGGGCAGTCCAGCTCTCCGCCGCCGCAAACCCACACAAAATGGTGCTCTTCCTACAGAAACTAGGAAGTATAAGATCTAGTTCTGCATGCGCTCTATGCCTTCCATGCTGGTGAATGGGCTGACTCGCCCGCATACAGGAAACCCCAAGACACTAACAAAGTCCCCTCCGCCCGTACCACCACCCCACATCTGCAGAACCGGTAGACCACGCAAGTATCAGAAAGTTATTCCGGCCCCTCTCCCCATTCGGCCTGTGGTAGGCCGGATAAGACACCCGACAATAATCCCATCCAGGAAGCGAAGCGTAAGTCCAGAACCCCCCCCCCCCTCCGGATACTACTACAGCATCGCGCACACGCCACACCACACAATACCATATAAAACTCATGAAACGCCTTTCACTCACCGACGAGCTGTCGTGTAAGTTTCATAGCATGTTATATTGTGTAGCTTGCTAGAGCGTTCACAGCAGGCCACAGCACCAGCGACTGCAAGGGTAGGTGGTCTCCACGACGCAGGATACCCCGCCCCCAGGGCATGTCACAAAGCGGTTCGAGCTGGACAATCCGCCGCTGCACGGATGATTTACGATCCTCTGAGAGTGCCCACGGACAGGAACATAAAACAATATACCGTAGTTCATGGTTCGTCTTTGAACCACAACGTCCGTTCACGCATTCACCATTCGCTTGCCCAACTCGGTAAGACATTGCTGTTGTGTTGTCTTGACGCATCGTATGTTCATCTGCAAATATATACCGG